ATGAATAAGTTAGCCAATAGATATAGAAATGGAAAAGGAACAGAAAAGGATTTAGAAAAAGCCTTTCATTGGTATCAAAAAGCAGCAGAAAAAGATCATATTGAAGCAATGAATAATTTAGCCAATAGATATAGAAATGGAGAAGGAACAGAAAAGGATTTAGAAAAAGCTTTTCATTGGTATCAAAAAGCAGCAGAAAAAGATCATATTAAAGCAATGTTTAAATTAGCTATATGCTATGAAAATGGAGAAGGAACAGAAAAGGATTTAGTAAAAGCCATTCATTGGTATCAAAAAGTAGCAGAAAATGGTGAAGAAAAAGCAATGTTTAATTTAGCCATATGTTATATAGAAGGAGAAGAGGTAGAAAAGAATATTTTTAAGGCCTTGCATTGGATCCAAAAAGCAGCTGAAAGAGGTAATACTAATGCAATGGAGGTTTTAACCAAATATTACGAAATTGGAGGAGGAGGAAAGAATTTAGAAAAAGCTTTTTATTGGTATCAAAAGGCAGCAGAAAATGATAAAGTAAATCCTAAAAATGAAGTTGAATCATGTAATGAATGCAAGCAACCATATACTGATTATCAGTGGTGCCAACAATGTAATACTAGACGATTTCAACAAGATTTTTCAAAGTGGACTAGTAAAAATGAATTTATTGATACATTTATTCAAGAAGCACAATCAAATGCTAAAAATAGTTATGAAGTTTTAGAATGGATACCTTATAATAAATTAGCAAGTATTGTTTATTATGATAAAGGAGGATTTAGTGAAATCCATAAAGCTATCTGGTTAGATGGACCTATTTATAGTTGGAATTTTAAAAATCAACAATGGAATAGACAAATATATTATGAGGTTATTCTTAAAATACTTAATAATTCATCAAGTTTAGATAGTAAATTTCTGAATGAGGTATTGTATTTATTTTAATAGCAAATTTTATTTTCTTTTGCAAAAAATTTATTAATTTTTTTACCTTCTATATAGTGGAAATATCATTATAATTGTCAAAAAAAATCATTTTCAAAATTTATTCAATTCTTTGGAATTACTCAAGATCCAAATAATTTAAATTATATAATTGTAATGAGTTATGCAAAAAAAGGAAATTTAAGAAAATGTTTGTCTGATATAATTAAATTTAAGTGGCAAGACAAGTTACAATTATTGAATTCAATTATATTAGGACTTAAAGTAATTCATGAATCAAATTTAACTCATGGTGATTTTCATGATGGTAATGTTTTAATGTCAGATAATCACAATGAGCTATTTATTATTGATTTAGGACTATGTAAACCTATTAGTGATGTTGGTAATAAGATTAATGAAATTTATGGAGTTTTACCTTTTATGGCTCCTGAAATATTAAGAAACAAACCCTATACCCCAGCAAGTGATATTTATAGTCTTTCAATGATAATGTGGGAATTTACATCAGGTACTCCTCCGTTTTATCATGAAGCACATGGTCATCTCCTTATCTTGGATATTTGTAGAGGAAAACGTCCCGAAATTATAGAAAATACTCCAAAATGTTATATAGATTTAATGAAAAAATGTTGGGATTCAAATCCCTCCAATAGACCAACCATAAAAATGCTCGAAAATATTATATCTGAATGGATTAGATGTATTAATAAATATTATAAAATAAATAGGGATGGAGGACGTAAATTTTTAGTATCTAATATTGATAATCAATTAAAAGATGATATGCTTGAATTTGTAAAAGCAAACAAAACTTTAGTACAAGAACAAGCAAATACTTCTATTATGCAATCTCATCCACAAGCATATTATACAAGTCACAAATTTACTGAAATTTTAGCTCAAGTAAAATCTGAAATCATAGTTCAGGAAAAGTCTGAAATCTTAGTTCAAGAAAAGTCTGAGTGTTTTGAATGTATAATTAAAAATGAATGATCTTATATAAATAAAAATAATACTCTATGATTTCCAGTGATTTATTTTAAAATAATATATAATATATATTGGAAATATATCTATAAGAAACAGAAACCATTAAAAGCCTAGAAATTCTGGACAATAATTACAATTTAGACTGTATTTCTTTTAATAATTGCTGTAAGGAATTCTCATCAACAGATTGAATAGCGAGTTCATTTAATAAATTTTGCTTCAGTTCTGGGAATTCAGTTTTCCATTCACCTTTACTTATCATTTCTTTAATCTTTTCACGAGTTTTATCAACACTGGCATAATAATGTCTAGAAAAATAAATATTATTAGTATCAATCATATATATAATATATATTATATATTTAAAAAAAGAATTTTACTTACATCACTTCAGGAAACCATGCATACCAACGTCTTTGATGTGGTAATAAATAAAATAACTCAATTTCAGCTATAATCTGAGAAAATTTAAAAATTTTAGAATTTTTATAATATTTAATATTTAATATTAAATGATGATGATATCATACCTCTGCTTTTTGTATTAAATATGAAACTTTATCTTTTTCAATTGCTATATTAAGTAATCTAATAAACAAATTCATAAGATATACTACAATTAAGAGTGAAAATAAGACTACCAGTATTGCAAGTGTTGAATTATCATTATATGTCCAATTGGATAGTGCTCTCGAATCACCTATAATAAATGTTATTCTGTTAAAATATTTAATTATAAAAATATTAATGAGAATAATTTTTTTTCAGCATACCTGTTAAGAATAAATACACTGCAAAAAGAGCCATTTTAAAATTTGTAAACATGTTTGTATTTCCATCGGGTTTTTGAATAATAAATGAATTAGAATTAGTAGTTCCATTTTCAAATACTTGAATATAAGTAGGGACTAAATTCCAAGGATTATTTAAATCATTAATATTTGTATATGTTTCAAAAGAAATTTTAGTTTCTGGTGTTTCTGGTGATAAAAGAATATAAAATGCATGTGCAAAACTAATTATAATAATTAATAAAACCACTACAAAAGAAATAATCTTCTTTGCAACACTAATGATTATTGTAAAATATACACCAAAAGATTCAAATGCTCTAAAGAATAACAAAAATTTTATATCTAAAAATAAGCATGAAAAAGAAAGTAAATGAACATTTCTATCTTTTGTTTGAATCCAGTAAATTGCAGTAAATATTGGAAACAAATATGCAATTATATCTGTAACATTAAATAATATAGTTAATTACTTGTTAGAAGTTACCAGTGTATTAAAAAAGATTCAAATTAAAAATAAACATTCAAATATACCAAATATATTCCAAGCATCATGGATCCATTTAATAGGATTATAGATAAATTGTCAAATTTCAAAACTCAAATGAATAGACCCAAGTATAATTGAAGCAACCAGTAGTTGTTTTTGAATATCTTCATTGATATATTCCTGAGGAATTGTTGCAACAGCAGTAAAGCATCCAAGTAAAATTATAAATCCAAATTATTGCGTAATAATATTTTCCATAGTTATTCCATTTAAAATTTATTAATGCTTCTCCACTCCATGTTTTATAAATATCACTACTTATTGTTTTAGCAAATGGATTAGATTGAGGATTAATTAATTCCCAAACCCAATTATAATTTTGTGGATAGTTGATAAACTTAATGTAAGGATTCATGAAAGTGATTGTTATTATTGATGGTGTTGTTTTTTTTTGAAAAAGAAACAAAGTATCAAGATACCCATTCACATATGTATCGAATATGTTATCATATGAATCAATTTTAAAAATAAAATGAAATCTTAATAATATACGACATGTAACAAACCAAATTGGAAAAAGGATCAAAATTATTAATTCTTGAATAAAACTTAATATCTGGAATGTTGACTTATAATTATTCTTTAATTTCCTCATTAATGCATTGTATTTTAACCACCAAATAGATCGAGTTAAATCAACTATTTGAAGATATTGAAAAGAATAAAGATGCAAATCGTTATTTCGGTGTTCTTTGTTATAAAAAAGAGAATCTATAATCATTATTGTTTCTAACGAATATTTTAAAGTATATTCTGGATAATATTCGTTTAATAATGGCATATTAGAAGTAATAATACTCAAAAAAATCCTATTATTTCCTAAATCTTCTTTAAAATAATTAATACACTTTTTGTAGATATCATCTATTAATTTTGGCTGATGATTTTCAATTGCAAATGTTAATAATTTAACACCATATTTCAAAAGACTTTCCTTATCACATTTTTCATAGATAACATCTACTAATTCTAAATTATGTTCTTTAATTGCGAATATTAATAATTCAGTATCATATTTAAAAAAACTTTTCTCATCTTTTTCATTTTTTACATATGAAACCCATTCATCACAAAATTTAAAACTATTATAATTTGGCAAAGGTAATGTAAGTTTTGAAAATAATTTCTTATAACTTTGTAATTTTTTATAATAATAGTATCTATCGCCATATTGGTCAATACTAACAAAATCCATGTAATAATAATAATTTAAAGAAATAGATTTGTCATTTCCATTAAAATGGTAAATAAAAAGTCCCATATCTGTTAAAGTAATAATATTGCTATTTATTAACTTAGTTTTAATTAATAATGGCTCAAGATTTTTAACTTTTGTGCAAATAAATAATGGTTCAAAATTTTCAACTTCTGTGCATATAAATGATTGATTATTTTTAAGTTTTGTGCAAATTAAATCTCTAAAAACTTGCAGTTCAATTTTATCATTATAATCATCATTATTATAATCCCATTCAATTCTTTCTTTATGCCCAGAATCTGGTATAACTTCCTGAAATAATGCATGTATAGCATCCATGATATATGAATTAAATAAATGAACATTTAAGTTTTCATATGCATATGTTTTCTTATTGATTTTAAAATTATTGTCAAAATACCAATATCCAATCATATCATTAGAATCACTATTATTTAATTCATCAGAATTTTTAAGTAAAGAATTTACATTTGATATCAATTTTTCCAAATCGATCTTACAAACATCTCCATCTAAAATTCCAAATGCATATTTGCTTGCGGCTCGAATGTTATTTGGAAGATTAAAGTATTTTTTTGGTAATTGGTCATATTGTTTTAAGCGATCTAAACATTTTTCTCTACAATTTTCCATGACGGAATCCCAAAATCCACTACTTGGTATATTACTGAATAAAGGAAATAATAAAGGACATAAAACAGGATGTTTCATAGGTATACACATCTGATTAACTAATAATAAAATAGTATTAATGAAGTTTAATAGTATAGTAGAATTTTTAACTTAGAAAAAAAATCAATACCATTATTTATATCCAAAGAATCAATAGGAATTTCTAATTCAATCGAATAAATAATAATTTTATCCTTGATTCTTGTACAAATAAACTTCTCATTGCTGAAAACTGTAATATTTTCTTTAATATATCTTCTTTGTTTTGACTTTGGTTGTAAAAAAAAGACAAGTAATTAGTAATTTTTTTAAAATATTTTCATATAGATTTAGGCAAATAATTTAATATATCTTATTACCTCATCTTTACTATTATCATCATATTCAAACTCCTCATCAATAAATATTTTTATCTCTTTTTCAGTAATAAGATCCCATTCATAAATGGAGTTATTTGAAAATAAATAAAGTTTATTACATTTTGATATGCTAATCAATTTAAAATCTTTAGGTATCTCATAAATTTTTTTACACTTCCATTTGTTATTTTTAATTTGCGTGGAATAAAAATAAATAATTTTTTTCTCACAACAATCACCATATAAAATAAGTTCACCTTTTAAGTTGAAGATAAAATAATAATAGTCATAACCAAGGTGACAATCTAATTCAATGTTTTGATGATTATTCATATTGTATATTTCTAATATTTCTAATAAAATAATAATTAAATTATCGTAATTAGATAAATACCAAAGTATTAATATTTTTAAAACTGCATGAATTTATAAGATTGACTATTAATTATTACTTACCACGTTTTTTAGATCCATATTCATAAGTTATAAAAGAAATACACGCAAGTTTCTTATCATCGGAAACACACATTTTGTGTAAATCAACCTCTATTTCTTTTTTTCTTAGTTTAACAGGTTCAACAGTATGATCTAATTTAAGTTGACCCTCGTCTACATCTTCAATATTCCAACCGACAATTGAATGATCTTCTTCACTATAAGTAACGAGATATTTTCCATTTGGTGATATTTCTATCATAGTAATAGTTTTACCGTTATGTGATTTATCGTCATCAATTAATTTATCCTTATCAATATTGTTAGAAATATTAACTTTATCGATATCGATTTTATCTTTATCAATATTGTCGTCGATTTCTACGGAAATTTCATCCATTTGACTCATTTGATAATAAGGAGTATATGTATTATTAAATAATTTGTTGTTAAAAAAAAAGGAAGGTTTAAAAATGTTTTTATAGCGTCCATTACGATTTTATTTATTTTTGTAAAAATTAACCGGGAAATGATCGATCATCATTCGGCAAGATAGGAGATCCAATATTCCGTACCATACTGGTTTATAATAAAAGGCTTATGCGAGGCTTATATATAGACCGATAGACGGTTGGTACGCCACTGTATTTTGAAGGTTGATCCCGTGCCGAATATTCTGTATTCTCCTACATCTTATATCGGGTGTAACGTCTAAATCTTTTTTTTTTCTCTTTCTTGTTAAAAAAATTTCGCCTAATATTTTTTTCACATTTTTCCGTTTGAAAAAATAATGGTGTAGTTGGCCGCCGAAGGCGCAATAAATTTTCGGCTAACACAGCCGAAAAAATTTCATGTTGATCTTGAATATCATTTTCGGCTGAATATTTTCGGCTAAATACTTTTTTTAAAATAATAGTGTAGTAAGCCAGGTGTTAGCTGTGCCTTCACTTAATTTTTTGGCTAACTCCATGATGATCCCATTATCATGTATTTTATACATAATGATTACTAGCAGCTTGTGTTATATTTGCCACAGTAGTTCCTCAAACTTTTTGTGTTTTTACCATTTAAATCTTTAATAAGGTTAAAATTAATTATTTAAAAAAAAATTTTGTTAAAGCGAATTTGAAATAAAAGTGGCAGCGAAAAGATTGACTTTTTACATAAGTTTAAAGTTTAAACATACAATAATAAATATAACAACTTTATTCAATTTCAAACTTTATCAATAAATAGACTTCTATATACAATTGCCAATAATTTATTCCAGTAATACTTACTGATCGATTAAAATATTTTTTTTTTTTAAAAAAAAAAATAGTAACAGGTAACACGTTTATTAATTAATTAAGAACAATAATAAAATTGATTACATAATTTTTAAAACACCTAGAAAATAAAATAATTTACATTATCATATTCTCTATAACTATTAAGTTCATTCTATAAATTTCTAGAAATTATATAATCTATCTAAACTAATCTATCTGAAATTATAACATGATTGGTTAAAATAAGGCTTCATTAGCCGAAAACAGTCAAAAATAATATTCAAGATCAACATTTTTTCGGCTGTGTTGGCCGAAAATTTACTGCGCCTTCGGCAGATGATCTGTATCCAAGCGATCCAATATCATATCACGTGGTTTCAGTAAAAAAATTTTTTTCACTACTCCAATTTTCAATGCCGACCTTATTTATATCTCTCATTTACCCTTTTATGGCTAAAACAAAAATTAGCTGATACACAGCCATGATCGATCGGTTAGCCGATAAAAATTTATATGTAAACCAGATCTCACATAAAAAAAATATTTTTTTAGGTAGAGATAAATTCGAATTTTTTAAATTCATTGTAATTTATTATTATTATTATTTATAGACTAGGAAAAATATATATACATATTTATCATGGTTATGATTGTAATAAAACGCAAATGTATAAAGTTGGTAAGCGATTTTTATAAATGAAAATTTTTTTGAATTCTCTTTAACAACGTGTTTTCTAAACAATTTGTATCCCAGCTGCACCGCATCAACAGATCAAGAACAACACAATTGTTTATTCTTTCGTCAATTTTGCAAGCCATAATAATAACAGCATTAGAAGTTCGAGTATTCCACCGTAATAATGATACTAGTATATCGTTGGTTGCTTACGCCAGAAGTAGTAACCCAAGCATGAGTTGCTTAGTTCCAGATCTTTTTATACTAAACAATATAATTGAAGAAAATATTATCTTTATTATATTTCAAATCTTTCAAATGTGGTTATGTTTTAATGCGGTAAGAAAATGACAAAGCTGTATCCTTTATTTTGCGCAAACATAATCCATTAATAGAATTTCGTTACGGGATGTTTCTTTAGATCTATACTCAAAATACAGTTCAGATTGTTACCACTGCTGCAGTTACTTTCTTTTGTGCTCTTTTTGCCATTGTAAGATATAAGTCAATGATGTCAAGTCCACTTGCAACACATTTGTTTATTAAAATCTAAATAAAATTTTTTAACAGGTTCAGATACTCGAAGTCCGAAAATGGTACGGAAATATCGGCAAGTTATGTCAAGCTCCATTGAAATTTGAATCTTACCCAAAATTTTTATCGTATGACATACCATTAATGATAGCATTAATAATATTTGGCTTTATTATGGCTTTCCTGGGTTGGAAATTATATCGGCAACTTGGTTGGAACATATATAAAAAAATTGGTGGAGACATCAATACACAAGGCACGTTAGATTAAAAATTAAAAATTTGTTTATTTATTTATTAACGCGTGAATTGATTTTCATTTTTAGCCATGTTCAAGACATACTTAAGCTATGAAATGTTACTTAAGCTCGGATTATTCTTTATATTGGGGCTAGCTTTAGAAGCATGTATAGTATTTAAAATAAATTTAGTCGAACATACATCTATAAACCGCATCAGATTTCTTCCAAGACATTTTTATTTGTTTCATATAGCAGTGACAGGCTTAACTTTTCTAATTCAAATAATCGGATATCGTTCGGTATGTTATCTAAAAGTTTTTTTTGTATAAATATTTTAAAAATCGATTATTAATTAGTTATTATCAATTAATAGGCAAAAAGAGAAATAAAAGTTGGTATGATATGCTTATGTGTATTTTGGGCTGCTATTATTATAGATTTTTGTATACTTATGAAATATTCGATAAGTGTTAAGGATAGTTGGTACTTTTTCATTGTATTTCGTATGTAAAAAGTATTTATTTTCGATACTTTTCTTTTAGATTTTTTTGCTATTTATATTAACATACCCGCTATTTTTAGTTTCCATTGGAATCATAATAAGTTTTGTAAGTAATTAAAAAAGTTTTGTTATAGTATTTCACAATATTAATGATTTTTTTTTTTTATTTAGTTCTCATTAATTTGGTCTGTATTCGTTTACAATAATTTTGGACGAGGATTAAAGGATCGTCGTGAGTTATTTAGTTAACTTCATCTTTTTTTTTTTTTATATTAGAAGAAATAATAAATAATTTCTTTTTTACTTCAAATTATAGTTAATCAAAAGGATAAAGAAGAACCTGTTTTTTATTTGCGGTACGCTCCAATATAGTGCGTTATCATTTATATTATATGACGATCATTTTGATGAGATCACGTGATAACGAAAAACGAATAACAACCATGAAAATTTACAATATCTCACAAACCATCAGGACAAAAAAAACTCTTTCCCCTTTTTTTTATTTTTGTTAATTTTCCNGTAATATAGCGCAAGTTATTTTTTTTAGTTTCTATTTGAAACGTCAAGGGGATAGAGGCCCAATTGGGCGCCTTGGTCGTATACAAGGTTTTAGTTCTCACATACAATACTCAAGATATGAAAGGCTTTCCGCGAGCAGACGCCGCGGACTTTAGAGATATTTGCCCCGTTTATGAGAATAAGAATGACTTCTCTAACCTCTCTCTCATTACTCCAATACCTTCACGAGCTCCTGTTACACCTCCTGAACCCTTAAAGGATACGATATCTTCTCTTCCGGTGATACTACCTATTGAAAAGAAAAAAAGGACTAAACGCCCACGTTTATTAAGGCCTTCTCGTACTATAGAAAAATCTTCTTCGCCTGGGAAAAATAATCCTTTGAAGATCTCTTTTTCCAAATTTCACGTGACTTCTCCACGACGATCTGGATATAACAGGATTTATGAAATCCGACGTTCAAGAAGTTTCTTTTTTGAGTTAGATGATCATCCTCAGAACACCAATGATATTCATCTCAAGATACACACAAATGATTACCACATGAACACTAAACTGATTAGTTATAATAACACAAGTACAATTCCGAACGCTAAATACCAAATGAGTTGTATGCTCACACACTTTTTTTCCTCACAAAGAGTGTTACCACGCGCTATTCAACAAAAATATTTTAACTATATACGAGATAAATTATTGGCTCGACACTTGATGGTCTATTCACGTGATCATAGTACTATCGAAAGAAATCGCATTACGAAGACCTTTTTCTATTTTACTTATAAACGATATCGTTTTCATTTTGGGATCTACACCCCTTGTCAACATTGCTCTACTCCCTCATTTTCTTCAACCCCGTATATATGTAATGTACCTGTTCCTTTTGTTATGTCAAAACATAGACGAGCGTGTGTTACGCATCAACGACAATTCTTCAGTGAAAAATTATTTCACAAACCGAAAGATTCTGTATCTAATTCGGATGGCATAGTTAATAGTAAAGCTCTTCATGCTAATTTGATTTACGACCGATGGAAAAATCGCTCCAAAAAATCAGTATTTTCAAACAGACTAGGTATATCATATCAAGAAGCGATACACGCTAGAGATGTTCAATCTGTCTTAGAATATGGTAATAAACATATGTATAGAAAACGTCTTACTGACTTTCAGCTCAAGCAATCAAACTGTCTCAAAGTTAAGAAAAAGCAAGAAACCCGATTTCTCCGAGCATGTAGATGGGTTTTTAAAACAAAAGAGCAAAACATTCCCGACCCTAATAGGCATAGGTTACGTACGGCGCAACGATATCATTTTTTGTTTCTAAAATCTCAATATATCAACAAACCGGTGAAACATTTGATATATGATCACGGTTTAGTTTCAGAGGACTATGGTTTTTCTACGCCTCATTACTACAAGACAACAAATCACGCTGATTCACGCACTGGCCGACCCATTATTAGAGGATATAACCATTTAATTCCAGAGATATCTCCTTTTAATGCCCAACCTTGGGTTCGAGAATATGATCCCTACCCAGATATGTTTATACCCTATAAATACAGGGACATCATCCCTAAAGATCCTCTTTATACAGATACAGGTGATTACATAAGGCCTGGTTCTCATTTATGGTTCACATATATGTGTAACCTTCATCGCAGGATCTCTTCAGCTACAACTAGCCAAGAACGTAAATATTTGCTTCAATCGGAACAAGAACGTGAGAGAGAAACGAGAGAATTACTCGAAAAAGAACAAGCGATTAAAGCTGAAGCCCGATATTATGGCACCAGTGTCCACACATTATCACGTAGAAGACATGCTAGTAAAATGCTGACAGGCAAAACCAGACACTTTCATGAGCGAATGAATCATCTCACTACCACACCTCTGAAAGGTAATGACGTCATCAGATATGCCGAACTCAATGCGGAAATGGAATCTTTCGAACTATATTATAATAGTGGGGTTAATTTTAATGAAAGATCAAAGAAAGCTAATGGCAAGATTCGCAAAGAAAAAGAAAAGAAGAAAGAAATAACGTCAGATGACACCAAAGAGTTGGAACATCGTCCTAAAAAACGCAATACAGCGTTAGTTGCTAATAATTTTTTTCATATAGATGAAGATCGTTACAAACGGAATCGTCCGTCCAAAGTACCAGTCGATACTACTGCCGTTGCAGGTCCTTCACGGATTAAGTTTTAGTTTTTTTTTACGGTTATTTTAACCAAAATTTTTTTTTTTTTTTTACAAGTAGATTTTTCTACATCTTTTTAGTTTCGTTTTATATGTAGTACTATTATGTACAAATCACGTTTACTTTTTATACACCAAACAATTTAGAATAGTGTGAATCATTCCACCTATGACAGTATTTACAGGTGGCGACCCTATGGGTTGAAAGAAAAATACGGATCATTTTATGATTGTCGTCAATAAATTGAATTTTGCTATTTATAATGTGTAGATTGCCACAACTTCTTAATATTTAGTCAGTGTCCTTTATCATTTTTTTCTTTCGGTTCATTGGTTCCTTTCTGGTAGGGGAGGGGATCATTCTGGTTCGTTGGATTTAAAGAAGTTCGGGTCCATCTTCGGGGGGATGATAGCTAGAAGTAGGATAGCACGGTTACGTTTATGTCCTGTTAATAGTCTGTCCGTCTTCACATAAAATAAATAAATAAATAAATATCTCACAAACCATCATATGAATTTTATTTAAATATATATTCAAATAGAAAACAATCATACAATCCTACCTATATAATAATCATTTTATTATTGTTTCTGAAACAGTAACAAAACTTAATAAAAATAACTTTGTTTTTGATTTCATACATTAAAATCAGTAAACTCCACGAATGCTAAACATATAAGTATTATAAAATTATAATAATCTAATTACCACCTCACAAAATATGAAATGTTTTGTGTTTTGTATTTAAATTTAAAAGGAAAAAAATACACTAAAGATAAAAAAAAATTAAAATGGTATTAGTAAAAATTTTTATTTGAATAAATAATGCTCAAATGATTTTTTGATTTACATCATTTCACTAATCATACTATAGGCCTCAAAAGGTTTCGCAAGTTTGAAGTTAATCTAAAGTTGGACTATTTAGAGAATTCGCAACTTATTATCGACTTCATATGATAGTTTTTTTGTTATAAACTTTATTAGCCTCTTTAAAGTTTATTTGAAAGACAGAGACTCTGGCTTTCTAACGAATATTTTTAAGCAGAGTTTAAAAAATATTGTAAAGAAGTAAAAAAAAGTGATCATTTTTTGCCATATATGGAATGACGTAATAAACTGTACTCCCTAATAAATCGCACTTTTTTTAATCGCTTTTTTTTTTAAATAAATCTTATTTAGAGTATAATGGATACCCATGTTCAGAAATTATAATTAGTGAGGTTTTAGTCTCTAGAGTTATTGTATGATTTTGGTCAAGAGATTTTGATGATAACTTTTTAGAGTACAATAATCAAACTGATTTTTATAATTATTCTGTTTTCAAAAACTTGATTTTTGTTAACGAATTTTTTTTATTCAGTTAGAAAAAAAAATCAGTTAAAATTTATTTTGATTTACTTGATCAAACAAGTATCGATTATAAAATGAATCACGCTCTTTCTTATCTTCTTACAGAGAAGATTAGAGAATATGGATGGACGTTAGTTCTGAGACTGGAGTTAAAAAGATTTTGCATCAATATTTTAAGGTATTATTCATATTTGATTACATCTTTATTTTATTTTATTTTAATGCTAATTTAGACATTATTAGTTTTTCAATCATTCGAATAAAATTATTTCTACAATCGCAAAAAAAATATAAATTCTCTCAAATTAGATCATGATGATCCAATTTTATCTGGCATAATCAACACAATTCATATAAAGTCAAATCATAATATTATTGATAAAAAAGTTACCGATGATGATTTGTATAATTTTTTGGACGTGACTTTACAAATTAAAGAATTCCCTTTTGAGGAAAAACGCGTCGTAAAGTGGATAGACAAAATAAGGAACGATGGTATTTCGTTAAAGAGATCAATTAAATCATTAATTAGAGACTTACCATACGTATGGAGAAATGATAATTACCAAAAAAGATCGTCGTTAATCAACGACTCATGATGCAATAATATGCAAATAACTTTGAAAATTATATATTTTATATTTATATTAATTATAATTTTTATTAATAAAATTTGGTTTATATTGTTTAATTAATATACTTTATTATTTATAGCAGTTACTTTAACATTATATAATTTTTTTTAATGTTTAATTAATATTTATCTTTATAAAAATTACAAAAATTTATAAAAAAATTATATGCAAAATGTTTAATTGAATTGATAAAGTTTTGAAAAGAGGCGATATAGGTTATAAGATATTAAAGGAAGGTTATTTAAATTTGAGCAGCAGCTAGAAAAGATGGGAATTGGGAAGGTTGTTTTTGATGATAAAGAAAGATTTTCGGATAAAGCTTTATACGTATAGATAATCAGTTTAACGTTTTAGAATTAGAATTAGTTGCAATTATATGTGCATTGTTGACTATAAGTGATAATGTTTACATGGATAAATTGTCAATTTTTCATTTATGAATAATTAATTCTATGAATATGGAGTACAAGGAAAATATGAAATACATAATAGTTTAATATATGTTGTGTTTACGAGAATCAAATATTGATGTGACCAGTTAAATCACAGGCATTCTAACATAAAAAGAAATAAAATGGCGAATAGTTTGGCAAACTAAAAATGGCTCTTTATGAGAATTAATGCTAAAATCAGTCTGACCAATGAAAATTCGTGGGAGTATGGTTTTTATTGGAATGAAATTAATTACAAGATGTTCACGTGAATTTTACAAAGAATTAAATCTAAGTAATTATTATAAGGCATCATGACTAATAAAAATTACAGACTGAAATTACAGGATATAGATATTGATTGGATAGCATCCTACAAAATTTCGTTCAAAATATAATGGGCATGATGACATTTAATATAAAAAATTTTTTTGAAAATACTACCTACAATGGAACCTTTTAAATAAACGCAATCCTGAAATTTATATATCTGGTAAATGTATTCGTTATTTACATCTTTGGACATATTGGTTTGCAGATCAGAAGTAACTATTAATCAAATCATTAATCAAGCGCTAGAGGTAGCAAGATCTGAAGTAAATTCTCATAACTATTTTTTATGTAAATCAACAATATTCAACGGTAGAATCTTTCATAAAATTATTAAAGGATTGTTAATATCAATTTGTATTTGGGAATATTATACAAAAGGTTCAGGCACATTATTAAGTATTTGTCATGAATATTAAAATTTTGTATGGAAAGTACATTTGGAATATGAGATATGATGCTGTTATTAGATAGGAAACTGGACAAAGTATTACACGGCAAATGAAAGGCTAAGTAATGGTGATCATATTTTAAATTTTTTATCAAGAATTAGTAATAGAACAAAAGATAGGTTAGGTGAATTGGTTGTAGTCACGCGCGTAACGAAATAATGAATAAAATATGGCTCTCAAAAAATTTTTCTAACTTGTGGTGTTATATAATAATAATAGTGTTTATATAGAATCCAATTATTTTCTAGAAATAATTCTTTTAAATAAAGTATCCTATCAAAATCAAACAAAAGATATATTACGTCTGCATTGTGCAAGTGTGTTGTATTGTCACGTTGTTTATCATAATATTAATAAAGAGGTATTATTTAAAAAAAAATTATATGGTGCAAATAAATTTAATTATAATTTATTTTTATTTATTACTAAGAATTTTTTGATTTTTATATAATTATAATTGTTATCCCAGATTTATCCAATTATATCCCGGGGTTTAATCACGGGCTTTTGATCGGCACGGTCATTCTATGATTCCGTGTTACATTACATACATTACTTCTGTGTATTTTTTGTCACCACCCCTGCATGATCGACATCAATTTCAATCATTTTGAAAACGGACAATGAGAAAATGTACTTATAATTTGTAAGCAAAAAATATCAAACAATATACGTTTTTTGTACGCTTTTTTTGTGCGACATCGATTTTGGAAAAATTGATCTACTGTAATTTAATAACGTCCATCGTTTTTAAGTTTCATTACTTCGTCTGTCTTTGGATAGTTTTTCTGTTCATTGATAGATAGCTATTTTTTGTTTTATCACTCTTAACAAAATTGAAACTCAATTTAGCACAAAAAAAAAAATTGCTTTACTATTAAAAATGTCTGAACAAAAATTCGATAAAACGCAGAATGAAATTAACATTTTCAATGAAGAAGTAATTAATAACGAAAATGATGAAATTGAATTATTTCATTCGAACCAAAAAGCAGCAGAAAATGGAGATAAAGAAGCACAATTCAATTTAGGTGTTTTTTATACTAGTATTGAAAAAGATCAAGCCAAAGCCTTTTATTGGTATCTCAAAGCAGCAGAAAATGATAATAAACATGCAAGAGAGGAAAACTCTCTCCTGCATAAACCGATTTACATAGAATTCCGCAGCAAACCAGAAAACTAAAATTAAATAGAAACAAAAATGGGAATAACACCGTCAAAAGAAAAATTTATAGCTTTAGAAGGATACGCAAAGAAAAGCGATGAAGAACGCACTGACATACTAAAAAACGCAGGAATGGAACCAACACAAATAGACCAAGACCTGGCCAACTTCCTAGGAGTCGAAGATATAAAATTTGGCTGCTTCATGAGAGGAATTATAATGATATGCATAGATGAGAACAATACAGAACGCAACAAAGAATTTGGCCGATACATAGAAGAATACAAAAATCTCCACAACGCAACGCTCGAACAAAAACACTTTGAAATGAACGAACAAATTAGAATAATGGACGAAAACTGGAAACTGAAAGAAGAATACTACTTTAAACACACCTCAATGAAAAAACACCAAATTATAACGGAATTGGGAACAGTAGACCAAGACGACAAAGAAAAAATGAAAAAATGCAAAGAAATGGTCGATAATCACTTAGAAACAACAGGCAGCGCTTCCAGCGATGAATTACCTTGGGAAAAAGAAACGAACAGCAGCACATGTAGTGACGAATTCAACCAAAATGAAAACTTTGCGAAAAGATACCAGATATACAACAAATCTTCACATCCTACAAAGGTCAACACACCTCACAGCACCAATAACAACTCGCAAATGCAGGAGAGGACCGAATACGGAAATTCTCAATATTCAAGGAACCAATCAATTACAATGGCGATAACCGCAGATCACGACATGGGAGAAAATTCCATAAAAAGCAAAGAATCGATGCACAAACCTAAAACAGCAAACGACCTGAAATATTTCGCGGGTCTTTTTACACATCAGATGAAAGGAACACAAGCACAAGATGACAAAATGATAACAGAATTTTTAAATAATAACAAATTATTAGAATTTCACGTGAACACACTGGGAAGAACCATAAAAAATGGGAACGAATACACATACGTTGGTTTCTTTACAGAAACAGCAAAAAACAAATTCCTGGAAGACACAAGAATATCGGAAGCAATAGGAAAATTCAGAAACCTCGAATGGTTAAACAAAATTGATACGACAATATTAATATCAGTAACAGGAATCGAAAAAAGTATGAATATAGAAGATGTAATTACGCAACTAGAAAACAAATTTGGGAAAATGGAACGAATTACGCATCAAAATGAATTAAATGGAAAAATCAACATGAAAGTGCTAATGAACATAAAATGTACGGACGATGAATTATTGAATACATGGGGAATTTTTATCAACGGAAAAATGATCAGAACGGAACCTTTAAATTACAAAAATCACGTGACCAAACAACGAGGGAAAATAATCGCGAGCGTAATAGACATACCCAATCATATCAACGACACAGAATTCACACCAATCTTCAGACAAACAGGTGCAAGATATTGGTATAAGTCACCCGACAGGAATAGAGGAACATACAGAATGATAGTACAATTCAACAACGCAACAGAGAGACAAGAAGCAATAAGGAAAAAAATCAAAATTGACGACAAAACCTTCACGTGGCTTTTTCGTGACGACGAGAATGGACAAAACTTTTTTCGAAACAACAATAGAAGAAATAACGGAAGATTTCAAAGCCAAATGCACGATAAAGGAGGATATGAAGATAACACAAGATGTTTTATATGTAAAAGGAACAATCACAAAGCAAGAGATTGCTATTTCAACAACAGCAACAACAACGAAGGACAGAGAAACAGCAGAGACTACAGAGGAAAAGATTGGAACAATCACAATAGTTACAGCAACAGAGGGACATATGACAACGAAGGAAATTTCACGCCACCCAGAGGACCGAACAACAACAACAACGGTAACAGCAGATACAACAGACACAGAAAAGATTGGAACAATGATTACCGAAGAAGACAATTTAACGATGATCGCAATGAAAATGGAAGATATGAAAATAGAAGATATCAGAGTGAAGGATACCAACAAAATAGATACAACGATTATAGAGAACAAAACCAGAGCGACAAAAGAAACAATAGTAACAATGGCTATATCGGAGGAAATAGAAGATACGATAACGGAAACTGGAACGAAAGAAATAGATACAATGGAAGACGTCGAATGGACGAGCGCTTCTAAAATAACATCAAATAAAAGAAAAAAGGAAGGAAGAGAAGAAGGCGAAGAAGTAAGCGCGGACGAAGGAGTAGAAGAGAAAAGAAAAAAACTCGCAAAGAAAAACCCAAAAAACGACAAAACATATAAAAATCACGAAAACCATAAAAAACATATTAAAACAAATAAAAAAGAGGAAAAACAGAATCATTTAACAATAGGTTGTATAAATATAAGAGGTATGAATGATGTAGAAAAACAAGGAAATTTGAGAACCTTTCTGGGAAAAGAAAAATGGGATATAGCAATCGTAACAGAGACAAAATTAACAGAACAAAAAGGAAAATATATTTACAAAGGATGGGACAAATACGAATGCATAAATAGTAGTTTCAATAATGACAATACAAAAAGTGGAATAATAATATTAATTAGAAAAAAGCTGAACGATCGGAGATACAAAGTAGAGAAAATAGACGGTCACGTGATCAAATTAGATATACTATTCAAAGATAAACAAAAAGGAATTAAAATAATAGGAATTTACAATCCAAACAACGACAAAGATACTACAAGACAAATAGAAAAGAAAGTAACAGCTTGGATTAACGAAGCGAAAAATTTAAACCAGGAACTGATAATATTAGGAGATTTCAACGAATCAGCAAACAACAAGAAAAAAAGTAAACCGGTAACTCAAACGATAAAAAAACATGGCTTGACAGATGTTCACGAATGTCTGACAGGGAAAGATATGCTAGATACTTGGAAGAGTAGAGAACATTCATCCAGAATAGACTATATTTTCACAAGCGAAGGCATTCTAGGGCAAATTTTAAGTCATGAAGTTTTAGATATAGAAGAATTTATGACAGATCACAAAGCACTAACGATCAAGCTAGAATTAAAAGAATCGATAGATCTAAACAGAAAAGAATATTTCAAACAAATAAAAACAGAACTTAAAAGAATAAAATTAGAAACTGAAGATTGGGAAATAATAGCAGAAAGATTCGACGATAAACTGCTGGATATAACAGAAAATGATATAAATAGAGAAGAAATGTGGGAAACAATGGTAGCAATATACGAAGAACAAAAAACCAAACGAATAGAGGAATTAAAAGAAATCAGGAAAAAAGAAAAGGAAAAGGAGAACGATGACCAACAGAAAATGGAAGAAAGAACATTAGATCATTTGATAAAAGAGTACGAGAATTTAGAAAAAATTAATAACATAGAACACGAAATAACCAAATTACTTAGAAAAGTAGTTAAAAAGAAATGGAAAGGAAGAGAAACAGCAAAAAATGGAAAACAATATAAAAGTTTCGATGAACAACTAACTATAGAAGATTGGGGAACGACTGATACAGGAAAATTTAACGCAAAAAAATTAATTAGTTTAATAAAAACACACGACAAAATAGAAACGAACAAAGAGAGATTAATAAATATAGAACATTTAAGAGAATATAGAAAAAGAAAAGAACTAGAAGAAAGAGGAAAAGAAAGGAGAAAATACATGATAAAGCTTTACGAAGAAATAAACGACAGAATAATTGAAATTAATATAAAGAAAAGAGAAATATACTTAGAAGAAGATATAGGAAAAATGATAAACAGAATTCTAGAAAAGAAAAGAGAAAAAATAGACATGTCAAGTCTAGTAATAAAAGAAAATGGGAAAATAACGATAGAAAAAAATCAAGAAAAAATAAAAGAAATAACTCTAGAGCACTACAGCAAATGGACAGCGAAACGCAACATAAATCTAGACGAAATAGAATTCAATCATGAATGGAGAGAAATATATAAACCGTTAGAAATCATTGATACTGACATATATAAGAAATTGATGGAAAAAATTGAGATGGAGGAATTAGAGATAGTAATAAAGAATTTGAAATCAAACAAAGCGCCAGGAATGAGCGGAATAAGTTATGATTTCTGGAAGAAAAGCAAAAATCTGACAAGACAGATACTTTTAGCTATTATTAATGAAAGCATGGAGAAAGGAAATGCGACAGAAAAATGGAAAAAAGGTTTAATATACCCGATTAATAAAACAACACGTTCGCATTGGAATCAAGATCTATCGCTAACGAGACCAATAGTATTACTGGAAACCGCGCGTAAAATATGGTTCAAAATATTAGTAAATAGATTGAGCAAAATTTTATCGGATAACAAGATTCTCACAGATACTAATTATGCGGCACTCAAGAACGAAAGTACGCTTGAACCAATTAATATTATTCAACACATAATCGAAGATGCGAATAGAAACGGAAAAGAAGCATGGATTCTTTTCATGGATATCTCGAAGGCGTACGATTCGGTCAATATACAAATGCTTGAATTAAGTATGAAAAGAATAGGACTCCCGGAAAAATTTATAAATCTCGTTTTAGATATAAGTTTAAATAGACACAATCGGATTTTAATAAACAACGAGATGACTGATGAATATTACGTAGAAGATGGCCTAGATCAAGGCGAAGTGTGGTCGCCCATATTATGGAGAATTTTTTACGACGCACTTTTAGCAAGGTTAGAACAAATTAGAGAAAATAATGGTTATAATCTAAATGAAAAGAAAATAATAAATTTAAGAAAAAGAGAAATAGACGATTTAAACATTTCCATAAACGTGACGGCATTTATGGATGACACTACGATTATCAGCAATAATAAGAAAAATTTAGAAGAAATGATTGATATATGTCATCAATTTTTCGATATTAATGATATTAAAGCGAACGTAGGAAAATACGAATTAATAAAAATTAATAGTGAAGAGAAAGAGCTCGAAATAGAAGGAAATGTAATTAAAAAAATGAATAATGAAGAAGGAAATCGATACTTAGGAGTATATTTTAGATATGACAATAAAAGAAAAATTTACAAAGACAAAATAGCATCAATTATTAATAGCGCGTGCAATATATTTAATTGGAAAAAATTAAACGAAAAGCAAATAATAGCGGTATGGAATATAGTAATAATACCGAGGATCGAATATCAACTGGCGGCTATAGTTCTAACGAAAAATGAATGTACAAAATTAATGACACGATTAAATATGATAATCAAGAAAAGAGCCAGGTTAGCACGATCAACACCGAACTTCGTGATTTATGATAAAGATATTTACGATGTAAAACATATATACGATCTACAGTTAGAAATGCTTTGCAAAAATTTATTATACCAGGCAAATGGTAATGAAAAACTAAAAAAATTATTCAAAATCGCGATGTCGCAAGAACAAAAAAGGATATGGACATCAAAATGCCCAGGCGACTTGAACTTAAGATATAAAATTAAGAATAATTGGATAATTGAAGCAATTAAGTTATTGAATAACGAAAACATTAACATTTGCGATCACGAAGTATATAATAACATTAATATAAATCATTTAATAGAAGGCGGTGCTAAAGATATTATCGAAATAATTGATGAAAAAAATATCATGAAAAGTGCGCTCTCAAGAAGAAACAAGAAAGTAATGTTTATCGAAGATTTACTAGAAATAGATGGAGTAAATATGAAAAAATGGAAACATATGTGCATAGAATTAGGCGTTAGCACAAAAGGTAAAATTCCTAAATGGTTTAAAGAACTAGAAGGAAAATTGATAGACAATACAAATGAGAATACGAGAAAAATCAAAAAAGAATACATGGGAAAATTCGAAAGAAATAATATTAATATTAACTATTTTGATGAAAGCGAGAAACAAGGAAAAAATACGTTAATATCTTGGAATGAAGAAGGTGAATTTCCAATTTTTGCAGTAGACAAAAAAGGATCCAAAAGTAAGAAATACAAAAGAATAGGTATTCATTATACATACAAAGAAGATACCTTGGATTGGAACAACTCACCCCTACTTATAAGTTGCGAAGGATGCGAGAAAAATATTAGTAAGAAAAAAGACAATAATGAAAAATGTTTAATATATATAGAAAACAAAAATAGTAGAATAATAAAGACAAGAAAAGAAGAGGGAGCGATAAAACCTTATGAAACAATTAGTACTTTAATTAAGAAAAATGAATGTATAAGAGCAATTAACGAAGACGAAGAAAATAACGAAGAAATAAATAGAAAAATAGATCAAATTGATAGTTTAATAAAAGCGGAAGATGATTTTATTACAATAATGAAAAATAGCTTATTCGAAAATGAAAACGATAGAAGAACCAAAAGGTATTACTTGATGATAGAGCTAAAGAAAATTAAAAGTCATATAAATAATAAGGGTAAAAGAGCTTTTTGGTATAACATAATATGGATTTTAAAAGAAGACAACGTTAATAAAGAAGAAGAAATTTTGATATCAGCTAGCTACGAAATTTATAATGAAAACGAATTCAAAATTCTAATAAGAAGTATAATTATTGGATTAATACTGATTAATGATAATAGTGAGATAGTTTTAGGAATAAACGAAAATATTAAAAAATTAATCAAAGATTTTATTATCAATACGAGTAATAGGAAAAAAATAGATAGCGATTATTATATAGAGCTACTTTATATAGAAAATTTTTTGACAAAAAATGTTATAAATATCGTAGAAGACATTAATGAGGAAGAAGCAATCATAATGAAAGATATCAAAAAGAGAATGGAACAAATATTAGGAAAAGATCTTAAAGAAAAGAAAATGAGATATAAGATCGAAATAATAGAAAATGCCTTATTAATAAATGAATACAATTTAATATGGAGGAAAAATATTATTACTGGAGGATTCAGAAATTGGAGGAAAAAAGTTTCTATGGCATTATGGAAAAATGAAATCCTAAATAGTAATAAATTAAATGATCTCTTTATACTTAATTTTAAAAAAGAATTCGACTGGAGGACGACATTAGAATTTATTAGTAATCGTACAACATTTACTAAAAGGCAATGTAGTTCTGTAGATACTATAGAACGGTCGTATCGAATAAAGAACTTATTAAAAGACCTTCCAACGTATGAGACATTATGCAAAAGAGATGTTGATGCATTAGAAAATAATAAATGTATAAGATGCGACGAAAATGAGATAGAGACATGGGATCATGTATGGATTTGTACCGATAACGAAGCAAATCTAGATGAAATTTTGAGAGAATCTATAAGTAAATTTGAAGAACATTTAAATAAAAACGGAAGATCAGAAGATATTACAATCTTGAGAAATCACAATATTAATATCGTTACAATTCTAGAAGAAAGATCAAATATTTTACTTGGAAAAAGTCGAATTTGGGAAATGCTAAGAGGAGTCTTTAATGATAGATTCAATCATTTAACAAAGATCAAAGAAGAATTAAGGATTATAAAGGAGTGTTGGAACTTTATATATAGAGAATTCAAAACTAGAATTTGGTTAATTCGTTGCGAAGAAGTCGCAAGATTAGAAAAATTAAAGGGGATACAGAAACAAGATTTAAGGAAGGAAAAAAGAAGAAGAAAGCAGGATCAACAGGAAGGGGACTCTGCAGATGAAAACACAGAAAATAAAAAAACAAATAAAAAAGACAAGAAAAAACAAAAAAAAGAATTTGATGAAAAAATTAATATAGTAACGAGAGATAGACTTATAGGTGCGGTAACTGAAGGAATTAATATAGAACATAACTGGGACCTAACACCAAAGATTACTGACTTAGTATAGATAAATAGATAGTTTAAAATTAGATAGAAATAGAATAGTTTTAGATAGTTAAAACTTAGTTATAGGGTTCGTCATTTTATGGCGAGCTCTAAGTATTTTAAACTAATTATATAAATTTTGTAAATTTTAAATAATTAATAAAATGCGTTACTATTAAAAAAAAAAAAAAAAAAAAAAAAAAAAAAAAAAAAANCATATGTTATGAAAATGGAAAAGGGACGGAAAAGAATTTAGAAAAAGCCATTTATTGGTATCAAAAAGCAGCAGAAAATGGAGATAAGGAAGCACAATTTAATTTAGGTGTTTTTTATTCTAATGGAATTGGTATTGAAAAGGATGAAGAAGCTAAAGCCTTTTATTGGTATCAAAAAGCAGCAGAAAATGAAAATAAAGAAGCACAATTTAAATTAAGTATTTGCTATGAAGAAGGAATTGGTACTGATAAAGATGAAGCTAAAGCCTTTTATTGGTGTCAAAAAATAGCCGAAAATGTAGATAAAGAAGCGCAATTTAATTTAGGTTTATGTTATGAAGAAGGAATTGGTATTGAAAAAGATGAAGCTAAGGCCTTTTATTGGTATCAAAAAGGAAAAAATAAAAACAAATATACACAAAATAAATTAGATTTTTATTATGAAAAAGAAATTGATATTAAGAATAAAGATAAATCCATTTATTGGTACCAAAAAGCAGCAGAAAATGAAAATAAATATGCACAAAATAGATTAGGTTATTGTTATCAGTTTGGAATTGGTATTGAAAAAGATGAAGTTAAAGCCTTTTATTGGTATCAAAAAGCAGCAGAAAATGGTAATGATATTGCAATGAAGAATTTAGCCATGTGCTATAAAAAAGGAGAAGGAATAGAAAAGAATTTAGAAAAAGTCTTTTATTGGTATCAAAAAGCAGCAGAAAATGGTAATGATGTTGCAATGAATAATTTAGCTATGTATTATGAAATGGGAAAAGGAACAGAAAAGAATTTAGAAAAAGCCTTTTATTGGTATCAAAAAGCAGCAGAAAATGAATATAAAGATGCACAATTTAAATTAGGTCTATGTTATGAAGAAGGAATTGGCATTGAAAAAGATGAAGCTAAGGCCTTTTATTGGTACCAAAAAACAGCTCAACAAGGGGTTAATAATGCTCAGTATAAACTTGGATTTTTCTATAAGATTGGTAAAGGAGTGAAAAAGGATTTAGAAAAATCTATTTATTGGTTTAAAAAGGCAGAAGAAGGTTCTTTAAGTGCAACTGAATGGATTGAAAATGCATTAAAATATGAAAAGGTTAAACTTATATCTTATGAAGAATTGAATAATGTAGTACCACTTCATGCAGGAGGATTTGGAAAAATATCAAAAGCAATTTGGGCTAAGACTAATAACTATGTAATTTGTAAAAAATTGACTAATACAACTTGCATTAAAAATGATTTGTTAGATGCATTTATTCATGAACTAAAAATGCATCTGCACCTTAATTATAGTGACAGAATTATACGTTGCTTTGGTATCAGTTTAGGTAAATTTGAAATATATATATTTTTTACATTACATTCTTATTCATTTTTTATTTTTTCAAATTTTTTATAATTTTTTTTTTTTTTTTTTTAGAACCTAAAACAAATGAATATCTTCTTATAATGCAATATGCTAATAATGGGGATCTCCAAAGTTATCTTGAAAATAATTTTAAGAATTTGACTTGGAATGATAAGAAAAAATTAGCATTTCAAATTGCAGATGGATTAAATTACTTGCACAATGAAAATATTTTGCATAGAGATCTTGTGAGTATTAGTATTTATTGTTTATCATATTAGTACAGTAATAATAATATATTTATGTAATTTATTTTCTTATAGCATTCTAAGAATATAGTTATTCATGAAAATAATGCTAAAATTACAGATTTTGGTATTTCAAAAAATCAAAATAGTTTAATTTCAACAGCTTATGTTGGTAATTTTGGTGTTGTTGCTTATATGGAACCAAAACGTTTTATTGATCCAAAATTTCCATATGCCAAATCTTCGGATATTTATAGCTTTGGTGTATTAATGTGGGAAATTTCTAGTGGATATCCTCCATTTAAAGAGAATGACAATAAAATTGCACTTGCCGTTTCTATTAGTAATGGTGCTCGTGAGATTACAATTACAGGTACTCCCAAAGAATATGAAAATCTCTATAAAAAATGTTGGAAACGTGAGCCTGAACAAAGACCAACTATAAATGAGATATTGGATGAATTTGAAAGAATGGGTTTTGGAAATAATGTTACAAGTGAATTAGTCAAAGGTAATCAATCATATTTATATCTTTATTTATGTTGATAGTATAATAACAAAAAATATAATGTGCATATTATAGATGATGATAATTTAACTTCAGAATCTGTGGAATATGTTAATTTCTCTACAGATGTGCGCGGTAAGTTTATAATTCTCTACTTTCTTTACTATAAAATATGATATTGTACTAATATTTATAATTTATTATATTTAGTTGACTGGAACACTGTGTAATTTTTTATCGTAGCAGCACTCAGAGTAATTAGATTTCCAAAGAGTTACAAAAAAATATAAAACAGAAACGTCTTTTCTTTTTTAAAGGCTGACAAAAAATTTTAATTTTCTTTTTCTTCCTTTTGTAAATAAGAATTGAACATGCACTTAATTTAAGATTACTCGCTAATCAAATCGCCAAGTATTCATGCAATGTTTTCTAAATACTAATGTTATATATAGTCATTTTACTTCTACATTAAAAGGAATTTAAGTTTTGTTACACCACCCAAATGTGGTATGGCAATGGGGAACGTTAAACATCATATCGTGGTATTAACTTGTAACGACCTAACCTGAAATTTGTCTATTTGTATTTCATAGGTTTTAGTCCCATATTACACCATATTATACGGCAATACAATAATGAAATTTTCTTAAATAAAATACTTAGACTTTTATAATAATATTTAGAACTTTTGATTCTAAGCATCCTTGTGCAATCGCCTCATGGATTAGTTCAGTGAGATAATTCAGGTCAATACTTAATCATTTCTCCAAATATTTACTTCTTACCAGAGTTTTTTTAGTCACAATTACTAATTACAAGTGTTAATAACCTTGGTAAAATAAAATATGTTTCATTACGCCATCTTTTATATTAGACATAATTTTTCACCCCGAAGCCTGAATTAAATCTTGCAGATATTATCTGAAATGAAATTGCGCATTGTACACAAGTTCATTTACTAAATTCTATTGTAAACTTTACTAGTATATTTTATGGTGATATGGTCATAATCTATTTTCATTAATTTTACTTCTGTCGCTCGAGAGGTAATCTTAATTTTTAAACATTTTCAAGGATACTGTATTTATATTAATTTCTTCTCCATATTTGATAGCAATACAAAGAAAACAAATTCAAAGATGAAAGATGATTTATTACATTACGAATGTCTAATATTCTTGATTTAAAAATACTATATACTGTACATAATCAAATTTTATTTTTATGCAGTCGGTATTTGATCAATGAATTAATTATACTTTAAAAAGTCATTTTATAGCATAAAAATTAAAAAAAAAAAGGTGAGCCACTTTCTACTATTTATTCTCAATATTCTGTAATAAATGGAACTTAAATCGCAGCAATTTATTAAGAAAATTTAAAGATAAATACATACTTTAGGATTTTCAAAAATTTCACTTGAATTTTTTCGTTTCATAATAATAATCAAATAATCCTTTAATAATTTATTACTTATAGTAAAATGTGATCTTGCCTATAAAAAAAAAAAAATATTAGTCAATTTATCACTAATAAGATAATTATCAATTGCTAATTCATTAGGTTACAAATATATTTTCAAATTTAAATACAGAATATTTATACGTTAAATACTAATTTCAAAAATGATAATTTGTACAGTTTTCACAAACATTACATTTCTCACTTTTTCTTACTAATTCATTATTTTCTACACTAATTTCACAACTAAAATTCTTTTCTATTGCTTCATGATGACATCCCTTACATAAAATCCAAATCCATTTCTTATTATAATTCGGTAATACTGTTAATTCTATATTTTCATATCTTAAAATATCATAACATGATTCACAATGATACTTCCTATTCTTAGAAATTCTCCCACAATTATTTCTTTTCGAAATCTTTACCAATCCTAAATTTCTTGTCAACATTTCATTTTTTCCGTATAACATATTTAAATTCTTTTGATATATATTACTATCAAAATATTCTTCTCCTCCACTGATATTTTCTATCCATTTCTTATACCAATATTCATGCTGTAAATACTTAGGTCCATTAACCTTATTATACATTACTTCTAAATTCTCTTGTTTTCTAATATTTTCATTTAAATATTTTAACTTCGATTTCTTTTCATAACTTCTTACTTTACTATAACAACTCTTTCTTTCTTTCGAATCAATCATACATATCTTATGATTATGATGATCATTCATATAACCCCCTTTATGGCAATAGAATTCTTTAATTGCTCTTTCTGTAACACATGGCGTATTCTGTCCTCTATACACATGATTTACTTCTTCTAAATATGTAAATTTATTACATATTTCACAACAATCAATATCTCTTCCCGTTATTCTTGCATATTCTTTTTGTTCCCTAATCTCATAACATTGTTTGCAATATTCTTCTTGTCCTTCTTCTAATGGCACTTCACATACTTGACAAATCCATTCTTCAACCAAATCTTTCTTACTAGATATAAACCATTCGTCATCACTATCATATTCATGATTTTCCCCGAATTCCCAATTACTTCTTACATCATTTTGATATTTATAAACTTTCTCTTGCTTTTTCAATTCTTCTTCCTCCAATTTTTTAATATTAACTAAAAGATTTTTATTAAATTTCATTTTTATTCAAAAATTATTCTATAAAGTAATTTTCTTTTAAAAGAAAAAATTTAAAGAGTTTTTAGAAAGAGTTAGAAATTTGACAAGTAATTTTTTTGAAGTAATTTTTTTTTGAATTAAAAAACTAAAAACTTCAAAGATATCATCACCTTTTATAATATTTCTTTTGTATAATTTTTGTGTTGTTGTTTTTTTAGAATATAATTTAATTAATTTAATTAATTATGTTATTAATTATGTTTCATACCTTTTAAATATGGATTACTGTATTAATTAGTACAACTATTATGCTAAAATAATTTTATTAATTTTTTGTTAATATTTTATTTAAGATATATAAATAGTATAAAAAACTGAAACAATTTTAAATAAGTATCAATTATAAATTTACAATAATTGGTCTGATACTATTTTAAATCATAATATTGTACTTTATTAAAAATGGAAACGATTTTGGAATAATTTTAAAATATTACTAAAATACATTTATTACATTAAAATGTTTTTATTATACTTTTATTATTACTTTGTAATTCTAGGTCTATAAAAATAACTCAAAATAATATCATAATTTTTTTAGTTTGTGTCAAAAAAAAAAATACCTCAATTTATAATCAATTTGATATATTAAAATATTAATTGAAACATTTATTTTTTGAACATTTTTCAGTAAATCCAGACCTTTATTGAAATTTGATTGTTAGAGGTCATACCTATTAATCTTATAACAGAGTTATTGAATTTTTCATCTTCCACACGAAGATATTATAATCCATATACTCTTTTACTCCATCAATAATTAATAACTTAGGCCACGTGAATGAACAATCTGAATCATCATACAATCATACGAATGCCTTAGCCGTACTAGTATGTTTAGGAAGTTTATCCAGCGATAATATGAAGCTACATCCTTTACAGTAAACCAATAACATTTGTTAACATTTAAATACTATGAATACATAATATACAGTTTCAGAATGCTTAGATGTTCAATTAAGTGAATTGGGTAAGTTATTATTTAATTGTAATTCTACTAATATTTCCTTTCTAATTTAACTAATCTATTTTTTTTTTATAGAACTAAATGAAATTTGTCAAGATAGTGAACATAATATTGAAAGTTAGAGTCAAATAATTTAAATTACTAGTTTGTATGTTGAAGTTAGTTTTACTTTCATTTTTCTTTTATTATGGTTTATTAATTATTATCTATTTACGTAGTGTATTATAGATTTATTGGATTTTATTTTTATGAATATTCTATATAAATAAGATTTTAAATTTTTCTTATGCTTATTTGATGATTATTATTTGATCATTAAATGTAAAACTGTGATATATTTGTAACTGCTAATATACCACTCATAAAAATCATATTAATTATTGTGCGTAATAAACGTTGATAGTTTTTTAGACTGCGCCTCATTTTCAATCTACCTTAAATAACATAACTACTATCTAGCTTAATAATCGAGTAATATATAAATTTCACATTTCATATGGTTTTTCTTATTTATTTTTCCATTTGTTTAAATATTCAATAACTTTTCCTTTTTATACTAAGATATTTTACGGATTTGTCAATTAGAATTGATTAGATTTTCAATAATCACATTAATAAATTAAAATACAGATCTTTATTTATTAAAATTATTTATAAAACTATATGGACCAAAATATAAATCAGAGAATTTTTTAACTATAATATTATGTAATTTAAATTCATTTACTTCAGATTTTAAAAAAAATAATTCATCATCAAATTCATCGAAAGCAATAGAAGTAGTCATAGCCAAATATTTAACCCTTTCCTTCTTCATAATATATTCCTTTATATAAAATAAAATATCATGCAACCCATATGCAATTAATAATTTATTAATAAAAGTATCTTGTGAATTTTTTAAAAATATTCCAGATCACTTGTATTAAATAAAAGAGATAAATTTAAATATTCTAATTTAGGAGGAAGAACCTGTCCTAAATTTTGTAATACAGTTGAACTATATTCAACATAATTTGGTGTACAACAATAATCATCATAAATATCAAATTCAATAGTAAGATAATTAATATTATTTTGATTATTTTCAATGAATAGATAAATATTATTATCATCAGGTATACCAGAATCAAAATATCTAATTTTTGTACAATATTTCATGATTAATTTAAATAATTGTCGTTTTGGTTCATTATTTTTGTCTTCCTTAGATTCAAATCCAAAATTTTCTAAACAATCACTAAATTTCTCTAATAGTAATTGTAATGATTCAATATGTAATATTTCATTCATAAACAAAGATCTCAATTTAAAAGGTTTATTAACCTTAATAATTTGTTGAACAAAATCAGAATTTAAAGAATGACAATAAATAAGATGAATAGATTCTAAGACATTCAATTGATCAAAAGCCTCTTGTAAAATATTAACTATATTTTTAAAATCAATGTGATAAAATATAATTGTATTTAAAGTATTTGAACAATTAGAATTTTTTAATAATAAAAATGGATCATATAAAGTAGTACTATGTTCAAATGAAATTTTTTTGAGATTATGTTGTGAAATAATTATTTGTGTTAAATATTTTTCAATTAATGAACGATCAATATCATATAATGATGAAGGAAAATATAAAACCATTGACAAGATTGAATTGCAATTAGAATATAAAAATTTTAACAATTTAATAATATTTTAACATAAAAAAATAGAATTAATAATACGGAGTTCTAAATTTCTGATATTATATGCAAAATTTGGATTTTGTAAAATCAAGTCTATACTATTATTAAAATAATTATAACGCGTAGACAGTACAACTTCAAAAGAATGTAAATTTCCTTCATTTTCAATAAACATTTCAAGTAATGACCTATAAATTAAATTTACTAGCTTCTCTTGGTTTTTACCTACTAAAGTATCAACCCACGTTTGAATAGAATTTAAAATTTTATCTATATCTAAGTATTTTATAAAACTAGGATAATTGAATAATGTATTAGAAGATACTAAATCATTATTAACTCCATATAAATATAATTTTGTTTTCACATCTTCATTTAATTTACTTAAGTAAATTTCAATAAAGTGGTGATTTTCGGGATATTTCTTTGAAAATGGATCTTCCCATAATAATGGAATGGCTAAACGACACCATAATCTATTAATTAAAATGCATGAATATAATGTTGAAAAATCTTTTCTAAAATACTGTATAATTTCCTCTGTTAATTCAGGTAAATCTCCTGAAAATATTTTTGAGCATGTCATGTTCGTAAAGGAAAGGGAAGTTGCTTTCGTTTCAAAAAATGAAATAAAAATTTATCAATTTTCATAGTTGTACAATTTTCCATAAAAAGATAACAAAAGAACCAAAAGTTACATGTAAATCATTCCTTATCCAAGGATCTACTAACCTTATAAGTCTATCCTTTGTCGATTAGGTGGAGATCTCTTTTATTGGCATGAAACCAATTTTGCTATGCAAATACCGGCGCAGTTGGACTGAAGATTTTACCTTTAAGGCTTGAGCACGACACACTTACGCGTGTGACAGTTATAATGAACAATGGAGATTTACCAAGCACCCTCGTCAAAGTCTCCTAACATGAAATACATAATTAGCAAGTACTCTACATATTTATTTTCCATAAGTCGTCAATTCCCTATCTGGTTATACTACTTGTTTGAAAAATTGTACTATAGATGATATGTTATCTTTCTGGATTTTTACCTACCATATTATTACAATTATTCCTTACCAGCAGATTACGTAATGTCAATTTTTTTTAAAATTGATAATTTTTCCTCAACCATCTTGAAAAATAAAAAGTGAAGGTAAAGTCATTTCTATTACAATAAGTTTCACTTAAAAACTTACTAGAAGCATGCCAAGCTCCTCCATGAAAATGACCTCTTGTTATAATAATACAAATTTATAATAACAAGAATAAAAAAATTAAAAAAAGTCATTTCAAGAATTAAAATTAATTATCTGAATTTCGCCACAATTTTACAATGTTTTATGACTTTTGATTCATACATTTTAATTAGATCAACCAATTCATTAAAATTCGAATTATTTATTTCTAATGATATATTAAATGACCTAATTATTATTAAATTGAAAGTAAATCAATATCAATATGATCTTGAAGATATAAATCTTCTAAATATTGACAATATTTTTCCAATTCATAATAAGTTTTTCATCTTATAGTCAATCAATTGCTGTCTTAAAATATTTGAGCTTTAGACAATTTTTGCAAATTGGCATTAATAAGTTTTTATTAATTATAACTTAATTTGGTGATGTGCCTTCCGTACTCTTAATCAAACCAATTACAATTTTAGGCAAAACTCTCCAAGTTAAGTTTTTAAAGTTTCTAAAATAGGTAAGGATACACTTTTCAAACTTTCCCATTTCATATTATGTTTTAAACAAGTTTCCAAACCTGTTAAATTTGCAAAATATGAAAGAATATTCGTTCTAATCTTATATGTTTTATAGTATTAACACTTTAATCAATGCCTCTTCATGAGATTTTACGTCTGATTTACTTGGAAATTCACTGAAGATGATTTATTAATTTTATGATTTCCAGAATTAATGATTTTTAGGTCATTTTTATTAAATCTCATTTTTTTTTGTTGATTTTTAGCAAGAATGGCCTGACTCTAGTTTTTCAATTTATATTTGGGTACTTCCTCTGAAAAAAGACTCTATCTCTAAACGGATATATTTCTAGATAGATTTTATATAAACACAATAATTATGAAACTTTCGTGTGGCCGAAGTTTTATATGCTGACCAAGAAATAATTAATTAGAATATAGTAACTGATATCACGCTAGAAAAAATTTTGTATTTTCAAAATTCAATATGATTTGTTCTCCAAGACTCCAACACAATTAAAGATTGAAATATTGGATATTGGATATTCTTTATTTATTACAATACAAATCATTTGATAATTGATGTCATAGATAAGGTTGAGTCCTCAACTGTTTATCACATTTTAAAAATTCTGACTGCCAACTAATCTTGCAAAAATTTCCTTTTATAATTAATGTTAGCCAGAATTTATAAAATTGTAATAACTTGTAATAAAAACGACTAAATTAGAAATTTCGGGACGATCATATAGGAATGTGATACAGTTAATGATTTTTGTTTGTAACACTCTATTGATGTATTACAGTATGTATGTATATGTATATAATTTGTAAATAATGAAGTCTCGCCGAACTAATAATTTTAATCCCTCTTCTATTCCATAAACCTAAAACAAATTGAATAAAAATGTCAAATGAATCAAATGTTTATTTAGATTGGTTAGAAAGATCAATTTCTGAAGAAAATATAGCATATTATAAATATTCAGAATTCAAAGATTTAATATTAATAGGAAGCGGTTCATTTGGAAGTGTCTATCGGGCTAATTGGAGAAATATTGATAATATTTACGCTTTAAAAACTTTTAATAATGATAAAACAACTTTAAAAGAAGTTGTTAATGAGGTATTATGAAATTTACTATACATAGAATTATAATAATTTATATAATAATTTTATTAATCCAACTTATTTTCTTAAAGATAAAATTACAAAAAAGGGTTGATTTTCACGAAAATATTTTACGGTTCTGTGGTATTACAAAGATAGAAACTGGTGAGTTCTAATATATTTTATCATAAAAGAGTTTCCTTTTCTAATGTTATAAAATTATTTTTTTTTTTTCAGAGAAAAAATATTTACTAGTTTTGGAGTATGCTGACAATGGTACATTAAAAACTTATTTAAGTGAGCATTTTAGTGAACTTGGTTGGAGTGATAAATATCAATTGGCATTGCAACTTGCAAGTGCGGTAGCGTTTATACATGAATGTGATATTATTCATCGTGATTTGGTAATAATTTTAATTTTGATTGTTGGTTTTTATAAAAGGATCAGAATTACGTAATTAATTATTCTTTATTTAATCATAGCATGCGAGCAATATATTTTTACATCAAAGAAGGATAAAGTTGGCAGACTTTGGATTATCAAAAAAAATTGCTTCGTCTAGCAGTACATCAAAAATATTTGGCGTTATACCTTTTATAGATCCAAAAAGTTTAAGCGATCAAGATCAAAGTTACAAATTAAACAAAAAGTCTGATGTATATAGCGTTGGAGTTTTAATGTGGCAAATTTCAAGTGGATATCAACCATTTTCTGCTAAAGGCACCGATGATAATTATAACGTAGGTTTAATTTTATCTATAGTGAATGGTATACGTGAAGAAATTATTGATGGGACTCCCGTTGAATATAGTAACTTATATAATGGTAATAAATAGTTCTCTTTATTATTATTTAAATTATTCATGGTTAATAAGAAGTGCATTAATTTTTATTTATTTGTTATTAGAATGTTGGAAATATGAACCACACGAACGTCCAAATATGTATGAAGTTGTTTTGACTCTTAAGAAATTAATTTCTCCTGAAAAAAATAATACAATTAGTGGTAGTGCTATCAATGATGAAAATATTTCATTAGAAAAATCTGTCTCGAAATCAGAAGATATTTTAGATATAAATGCGAGTCTATCAATAGACTCAGATATGAATAAAAATATATTGAGTAAGATAGAATCTACTGAGTCTGCTAAAAACGTCTTAAATTTACAAAATCAAAAATCTGTTCAATCAAATGTGATAGATGAAAATGATTCAACAAGTATATCAATTCATTCAAATTTATCAAGAGATACATTTGAGATAGCATTTAATGAAATTAATAATATAATTGTTGAAAAGTTAATTACATTTACAATTAAAAAGCATGATGAAGGAGCTACTTTTGATAATATGCAACAACTTATTGAACAGCAAATATTACGATTTAATCAACCTTCAAGTAATATTTTAAACTGGCTATTAAAGAATCAAGTCAAATCACAGTATAAATATATTTTAGGAGTTCTTTATTATTATATTAGCAATATAAATGAAAATAACAATGAGGCTTTTGAATTATTTCTACAAGCATCTAAAGATAATTATCCAATTGCACAAGTATATCTTGGGAAATGTTATAATGATGGATATGGCATCGAATGTGATAAAGATTTAGCATTTAATTGGTATCAGAAATCTGCAGAAAATGAAAGTATTATTGGACAGTTTTATTTAGGAAATTGTTATGAGTTTGGGATTGGAATTGCAAAAGATATGATAAAATCAGTATATTGGTATCAAAAAGCAGCTAATAATGGCAATACAATTGCAAAACTTTACCTTGCAGATTGTTATAGATTAGGAAAAGGAGTCAATAAAGATGAAATTAAAGCGTTTAACTATTATGAGAACTTGGCGAAACAGGAGATTGCTGATGCACAGTATCAACTTGGAAATTGCTTTTATTATGGAATCGGAACAAAAATTGATGAAATACAAGCCAAATGTTGGTATGAAAAAGCAACTAAAAATGGAAATATTGTTGCAAAAGATGTTTTTAAAAAGCTTTACACTAAAAAAGTAAGAATCGAAACAAATAAAATTAAGGAAATTAAACTTCAAAAAATATTAAGTTTTAGGGGATTAAATCAATTTGGATTAAACTATTTTGGAAGTAAGTTTACAAAAAATAATCAGGAAAAGGGATTTAATTACATTCAAATGACAACTGAGAATAAATGTAAGATAATGCCATTTGAATTGAATTATTTTCATAAAAAGGAAAAAGGAGTAAGAAAAGATGGAAGAAAAGCTTTTGAATTTCATAAAATATTAGCTGAACAAGGAAATATAAATGCAAAATTTCAACTTGGATACTGTTATGATGAAGGAGTTGGAACTGAAATTTATAAAGTTAAAGCATTTGAATTATATAAAATAGCAGCAGAAAAGGGAAGTAATGAAGCACAATATAATTTGAGTATTTTATATCAATTAGGAGAAGGAGTTGATAAAGATGAAAAAAAAGCATTTGAAATAATCAAAAAATTAGCAGAAAAAGGAGATCTGGATGCAAAGTATAAACTTGCATATTATTATTATAGAGGAATTGGCACTGACATTAATAAACCAAAAGCATTTGAATTATGTAAGAAGGCGGCTGAGAAAGGAAATGATAATTCATTATTTAATCTAAGTTTATTATATGAATTTGGAGAAGGAATTGAAAAAAATGAAGTTAAAGCATTTAAATTAAGTAAAAAACTAGCGGAAAAAGAGTATTTAGATGCTCAATTTCAACTTGGGTCTTATTATTTAAATGGA